CAATCATCATGGAAATGCAGATTCAAACTCAGTGAGAACATCTTGTTCCAATTTTAACCATCATGAAGACAAGAAATCGATGGAGATAGTGAAGAGAAAGGGGATCTCTTGTTCACTGTTGATACAAATGTGTTATTACAGTTTTGTGGGAAATAATGTGGCACTCCTAGGGAAACATGAAATGGAACTGGATGTGATCCAACTACCCACTATAGGGCTTTCCCAAGTGAACTGGAATTCTTACACCAAAAGATGTATATTTCTATATCTATTACAATATTATTCATAACAGTCAAGCTATAGAAATAACCAAAATGTCTATTGACAAATAACGAGACAAAGAAAAATGCAGAAATTTTAACCATGAAGATGAGTGATATCTTGTCATTGGTAGAAACATGAGCAGCAATGGAGGACCTCATATCAAGTGGAATAAACCTGCCATAGAAAGAAAAATACTGTGTGTTCTTGTTTAGATGTTGGTGCTCGGGTAAAATAGTGGTCACAAGAATCAAAGCAGGTGTCAAGGTGAATGCCAACTTGGAAGGATCTAGGATCACCAGAAAACAAACTGCTTCGTATATCTACAGGGGACTTCAGTTAGGTTAATTGCGGTGAGATGACCCAGCCCAAGTATGGGCAACATCATTCCATAGGCTTGTGTGAGGGACTCAAAATAAAAGGAGGAAGGAAGCCAAAACACCAACATTTCTCTGCTTCCTATCTGAGCAACAATGTGACCAGTCACCTCAGTCTTCTGGTACCATGACTTCCTGGACATGCTGGAAACCGAACCCTTAAACTATGGGCCTAAATAAACCCTTAGTGGTTTATGTCAGGTGCTCTGTTTCAGTAACTGGAAAAGCAACTAATACTGAAAGATGAAGGAACAGGAGGTGGGAATGGATTTCAGTCTTCAGTCCTATAGAAGGAGCAACTACGGCTAACAATAATTTATTAGAAATTGTATAAGTAGAGAGAAAATAGAATTACAAGGCTTCCCAACACAAAGAAATGTTTAAGAATATATAAATCCTTTCAGTCGCATTTGTCATCACACATGTATATGCATAATTGAACTATCACAGTGCATCCCAGAATATGTACAAATATTGTATGCCAATCAAAATCTTTATCAACAGAGGAAGAAGGAAGGAAGGAAGGAAGGAAGGAAGGAAGGAAGGAAGGAAGGAAGCCAGAAAACTGATGTCTGGAATGCACTATGTAGTCTAGGTAGTCTTGAGACCTGGGCTGCAGGTCTCAAGAATTTGACTGTCTCTTCCTCCCAAGAGTCAAAGTTACAAAGATGGACCACCATGTGCGGCTTAAAAAAAAAAAAAGCGAGGGGGCTGGGCGGTGGTGGCGCACGCCTTTAATCCCAGCACTCGGGAGGCAGAAGCAGGCGGATCCCTGTGAGTTCGAGGCCAGCCAGGTCTACAAGAGTTAGTTCCAGGACAGGCTCCAAAGCTACAGAGAAACCCTGTCTCGAAAAATAAAAAAAATAAAAATAAAAAAATTTTTGGGGTGCATTCTGGCGGATCAAACTTGCGTCATTTAGCTTGAAAGGCAAGCCTTTTACTGACTGAGCCATCTCTCGTATTTTTCAAAAGCTAAAACAGAATTCTTATTGGATAGAGGCACTCAACGAGTCTGCTTACTCATTGTTCCTAGTTGCATTTCAGATCTCTGTGCACCTACTTTCTATGTAGCCCAGGCATTTGAGAACAGAAAACCTCTATTCTATGCTGAAAGTAAATCAAAGGCTAACAAAAGTAGACAAAGCATGCTGGGCTATAATATAACAAAACTACTATGAAAAAAAAAAAAGCTGCCAATGGGGGGAGGGAAAGAGTCATAGCTATTTTGGGGAAAGGTCACAAGAGGTCACAAAAGTATCTCCACTACTTATCTTTGATCCAAACCTCTTCCTCCAAAGAAAATATCTGGTGAGGAGCATGTTCTCAGGTCCCTGTGGTATTTACTTTCCACATGCGGGCGATAAGTACTGCATGTGTCCCTGTGAGGGATTTTAGGTGGTCCCATATAAGCACTAAGATTTACTAAAAATAGAGAAGACAAATTTCTATAAGAGGTCAATGGGAGATTTTTTCTGTCTACAAATATAAGCTATATTTCAGAACAATGACTTTTACCTCTAAGCTGGTAGAGAATGGACTTAGTGAGGTTTCTGTGTTTAGCTTTAGGCCTGTGAGAATCCTTAATACCAGAGAGTACATGATGTTGGAAAATTGTTTGAAAAATATTCTCTTAGATGGCACCCTGACACTATTTTACCTAGGCTTTTCACTCTGGTGTTTCTGTATTTTAGGATTTTTTATAATAATTCAGTACTCACGTTTAAGGCCACATTAAGAGAAGAAACTAACCATGTAATATGGACGTTTCTATCATAGAGGATTCAGTTTTAAGCAACTGATTGAAGCCAATTTAAAGGTTGTTGAATATTGTATATATTAATACATTTTTCTTCTCTGCCCTGAAAGCTGAGCTGAAGCTGTCAGAGTCAAGTTGAAATTTATTGATACTATGAAAATACACAAATGTATCTTATTCCATAATGTGAATATAAATCAAAATGATCAAAAGTGGGAAATAGCTGAATTCAAGATTTTTCAGTTTATGATATTGACTCTTTCTTATTATTTTTGAAGTCTGTCCCACTCACAATGATATTCCGGGTCCTCATTAAGGCTGCCATGAATCCTCAAGTTATCCTTTATTACATTAGTTTTAACTGTAAACTGTTGACAACCTCACCAAGTCCAGAACTGAAACCCTAGCCTCTCCCTCAGATTTGCTAGATTTTATTTTTAGATGTAATCACTTCCCTCCGGTAAATGGTTAGTGACCACACACACACAGGTCTGCACATGAGGACACTATAAAGGGAATCTTGCCCCGTGAATCAGACACACCAGGACAGGCCCAGTGTGTCATGTTCTCCAACTGTCCCAGGGATGGTAGTGTGCTGACATTTTCAATTAATGTAAATGATATTTGAGATGAAGCAATTTCCATGGCAGGCCCAAATGCACTTCTTGCTCTGCCAAATGGTGTGAGAAAACTTGGTGTTTTCTAAATTAATTTCCTTTAGTGCTACCTGCTTTGTGAATCTTATTACAATTCAGCTTTTTAGAAAGAAAATCTTTCAAAGAAACCAATTTAGTAAGATAGTTGAGGATAGATCACATTTGGGTAGTTTTATATACAATATAACTTATTCAAAGAACTGTGATATTCAATGTAGAAAAGTAAAACATTCAGAAAAATTCCAAAATATGGAAGTTGGGTTATGTGAAATGATTGAGTTCTAGGGATATTCAGTAGACAGGGCCATTTTGGTTAATAATGCTTTCTGTACTTGCATAGAAGAACATATTTTAGTGTACTTTTTACAAAGTAGAAAGCATGGTAAGTGTTCTTCTTACAATAAGTGAGTTATTAAAGCTGGAGTTTAAAATAAAAAACAGAAGATAACCAGATAAGAATAGTACAGAAAAAAATTGGCATTTAATTATCCCAACAGTGAGTATTTTCCCAAGTGCTTCACAGTCATCCTGCATTAGACTCAAATGGTTGGCTTGTCAAAGATGGAAAGTACTGACCTTACGACGGTTTCCAAGGCCAATGGGAATCTCTGCTAGACAGTCAGGAATCAGTACCTGCTGTGATTCTTGCTCTTGCTATAACCAGAGTCATTTGTGTAAATCCTTCAAACCATGTTTCTACTCGAAGCTATTTCCTACATACTAGCATGGCCAAAAATGCTGTACCACTCAGCTAAAGATTTATCCTCCATTCTAGGTAAAGGAAGCCCACCTACTCATGTTAAATTGCAAAACATAGCACCTTCGTTTCCTATTGAAACAAAAATTTAAGGGAGCAGATTATTAGAATATAGTTGCCCTCTCTAAGTAACTTTTTACTTTAACGTGGCTGCCGTTGTTGGGCATCATAGTTCTCCCTGAAAAAAGTCACATTCCCTCAAGACCATGTGACAAGCACAGAGTATCATAAATACGTAATAGAAAATTTTAATTTTTGTGTTAATTGTTTTTAGGAAATGGGCTTCCTCTGAAGTTAGTGATAAATTATCAAGATGTACAAAGATTTGCTAAATGGTTATAGGTGACAGTTTTTATTTTGTATGTGTATAAACTAAAAGACCTTTATGAGATGGAAGTTGTCCTATTCATCAAAAGTATTAAGAAATATTCTGAAGAATATACACAGAAAGATTCAGTCTGCAGATCTCAAGATAGCTCACCGTCTGTGGTTATTGTCAGAGTACATCCCACGTGATCTTTCCTTAGCAAATGACCTTATATATTCACTTCAACTTTGCAACATGAAATACATGAAGGTTGATGATCTATATAGGCACAATTAATTTTAAAAGTCAGTGATAAAAATGAGTGTTCCAAATTTCTGGAAAGACCTTTGGGAGTATTTAAGAGAAGATTCATAAATTTACACTTGAAAATAAATGTTATCTATTTCTTGGATACTGTTAAGATTGTACACCCTTTGTTTCTCTCATCTGAGACACCGCAAAGCCGACGTATAATTAAACTCTATTTCTTTTTACACTTCAGAGCCTGTTTTTCACTTTTTCTTAATTAAGGGCAGACACATCCTTGTTAATCCTAATTAGTGGTGAGGTTTTCGACTTATAACTTGAACAAATAATTCTTAGAGGCTAAAATGTGAGATAATATCATATAGACATGCAAGCATATAATCACACTTACAAGTTCCAATTACAGAAAAAGATAGGATGCATCTGAAAAAATCTGGAAGTTCACCATGGGCACTTTCTGAAGGTCAGTGGTAGAAAACAATGATTTCTCTTTTCTGGATCAGTAGATCTAATCTGTAGCCTCTCCAATCTTAACAAGATTTGCTTTGATGGATTTTTTTAAATGATTTAAGGACTATAGATAACATTTATCATTCAAGGAGAGAGGTGACCCACATACCTGACTTGTCCCTGACCGTCACACAAGTGAAAGCAGGAAGCAGGAACATTGCCACCCAGGTCCACAGTTTCCAAGAGCCAGTGTGCCTCATTGTGCCGTGAAACCATGGGAACTAACGACCACGAATCTGTAATGGCAGAAACATTCAAGTTGAGATTTTGTACTCTGCTCCACCACAGCCACAAAATTCGTAGCAGCAAAGAGAAAACAATTGATTTCTACATATCACATAATTTTATATTAGGGCATATGATGCTCTATCATGCAACTGAGTGTTTCGATACATATTTTAATCTTTATGACTGCTCAGGAAATGTTTCTAGATCTTTCTTAGTTAATTAGTCAGTTAACTACTAATGAAGACAGGTTCTCATCACTTAAGTTTTCTCACCTTTTCAACGGTTGTAAAGCCATAGCACTCAAATGATTTTTTTTGTTTTAAAAATTGTGGTAAAATATATTGTAATGCAAAATTTGTATTTTGACCGTTTCTAGGTGTGCATGTCAGTGTAATTGAGGTCATTGCCACTGCTTTCCAACCCCCACAGCCATCCATCTCAGCAACTCTTGTCAGTTCACAGAAGTGGGTATCTTTGACTGCTCAGTAAACCTTCCCATCTCATGGTCCGCAATTCCCGGTTATCATTCCACTTTCCCTGCTACACGTGGAACTGCTGTAGGTACCTGAATAATGGTTGATTCTGCAATCATTCCACTTTGCCTTCTGGTGACTTTGTTTTACTTAATGTGATATCTTTGGTGGTGGTGGTAGTGGTGTTTGTGTGTGTGTGTGTGTGTGTGTGTGTGTGTGTGTTGTGTGTACCCACAAAGGTGCCTACAGTCTTGGGCTTATGGGTGCACATATACATGTGTATGTGTGGAAAGTGGAGATCAGTAAGTATCAGGTGTCACTCCTTGGGAGCCAGCTGCCTTCCTTTGTGACACAAGATCTTTCATTCAGAGTAGGCTGACTGGTCAGTGAGCTCTCTTCCCCATGACTGGGTTTACAGGCACACACCACCCTATCCAGTTTTTCAGAGTTCTGGGAACTGATCTCTGGTCTTCACGCATGTGCATCAAGCATTAACTGACTAAGAGCTTTCCTGGCCAATAGTATAAGGACCTAAAAGCTCATTCGTGTTGAGAGGTGTGTCAGGAATTTCTCTTGTTTGGGGCTAGATGATACTTCAGTGTTCCCCACTGCCCATTTTTGTTCATCATCTATCAGTGGATATTCATTTGTTTCCATCTATTGGCTGCTTTGAACTCTCATTCTGAGCAAAGATGTACAGCCATCAACCTGTGCCCCCACTTACAATTCTCTTGGGTATATGGTGTGAGAGGTCCTGCTGTCTATGGGTTGCTTTCATTGGTTAATGAATAAAGAAAGTGCCTTGGCCTGTGAATAGAACAAAACTTAGGCAGGTGGAAAAAGCTAGGCAGAATGCTGGGAGAAGGAAGGTGGGGAAAGAGACGCCATGAAGCCACCAGAGTCAGACATGCTAAATCTTTCCTGGTAAGCCAATGTCACGTGGCAATATACAGATTAATAAAAATTGGTTAAATTAATGTAAGAGTTAGTCATTAAGAAGCTATAGCTAATGGTACATGCAGTGATTTAATCACTACAGTTTCTGTGTGATTATTTCAGTTCTGGGTGGCCGGGACGAACTATCGGTCTCCTCCTACAGGTATATGTTCAAAGATGAAAATGCTAGGTGAATCACGTGGTTCTCCAACTTTTAGTTTCCTAAGGAGCACCATGCCTTTTTTCCAAAACACCCACACCATTCACATGGCCAATAGTGAAGGATACTGTTTTCTCCGTATCCTCTGCTACCCTCCTTGTTTTCTTTCTTTTTGATTGATACTATACTAATAGTTATTAATGTTACAACTATAACAGTATAGTTATGCTATACTAATGACTCGTTATGGCTTTGATCTGTCTTTTCCTAAGGATTCGTAATGCTAAACATGTTTTGTGTACATTATGGCCATTCTTATGACTTCTGTGGAGAAATGACACTCATACTTTCTCTTTTTAATGATTAGCTGTTGTTGTGCTTTCATATATTCTGAGTTTTTGACTCTTTATCAGCTTATAATTAACAAATGTTCTCTCTTATTTCACAGGGTTCCATTCAGTCAACTGACTGTATCCTTTAATACATACACTTTTATATATATATCTTATTGTATTTTTTTCATTTATTGCCTACATATTTGGTATAAAATACCATGGTTCAGAATTTTTAAACACAATTCCATCATTCATGATTTTGTTTGAGAATATTATATTTATATATAATTTGTTTGAGAATAGTATATTTATATATTATGGATTAATTGACATAATAATATTTTACATGAAGTATTTTGTTATGGGATTACATCCCACTCCTAAAATTACAACTGCACAAATGCATTCTTCATACTGTTTAAAGGGAAACTGATACATGAAATGCCAAGTGGACATTTTATAATAGTCTGTTGACATCACTGCCTTTAAGAATTTATATTCTCGGGCTGGAGAGATGGCTCAGCGGTTAAGAGCACTGGCTGCTCTTCCAGAGGTCCTGAGTTCGATTCCCAGCAACCATGTGGTGGCTCACAACCATCTGTACTGAGGTCTGGCGCCCTCCTCTGGCGTGTGGGCATACATCAAGGCATATGTTGTATACATAATAAATAAATAAATCTTTAAAAAAAAAACAAAAAAAAGAATTTATATTCTCACTCTACAGGTATTACAATGAAAGTTTCAGCATTCAAAATCCATAGAGGGCCAGGAGGTTTTGCTCGGTGCTTAAGAGCACTGGCTACTCTTCCAGAGGACTTGGGTTTGAGTCCCAGCACCCACAAGGCAGCTCAGATTGACTTGTTACTCCAGTTCAGCTGATATGATGCCCTATTTTTGCTTCCATGGACATCAGACATAGAATAAACGCATGCAAGAAATCCATACACACACAAAACCGTGACAGATAAAATAAAATATATTTAGATACCTATAACAATTTTTCTAAATTTAGCATTGTTTAAATTAACTTTACTGTAGTGAATAAGCAAAAATGGAAATAATTTGGAAGTAAAATGTACTGGATCCCTCAATTTTATTTGACAAATACACTTTTATTAGAAATAGCTATTCAAGAGGCATAAATCACTTATTTGCCATTCTCTACATTTTAATAAAGAGCCAATCATGAAAGAATTCATCACACAAATGTCTAACTTCTGTCAAGAGATTCTCTTGAACAGTAAGCCCACCATCTTTGATAGCCTACATACACATGCCAAATACTCAATTCAGCATTTTGAAATTAATTCAAGATTCTAGATGTTTCTGGATGAATAGCCAGAGGCAGCAATTTCAATGTTAAAACTGTATGTGTGGTTCTAAACACCAAACATCTGGTTGTATGTCTTATTTATTTTGAATTCTAGTACAGACATATCCTAATCCTCACACAACCTTGCAAATTGATCACAGCTTTTATTTCTTGTCTGTTAGCAACTGTTAAATCAACGTATTCTGGTTCAAATAAATTCTATATAGCTAATTTTGATCCAATTGTCAGGAAGATCTATGATTGTGTTTTAACTGGGGGATTTCTCTCAATTGATCAATTAGCACTGTAACATAGTACTTAAAATCATGACTTCCTGCGTGAGTTCTCCTAATTGTATGCAAGTTATAGAACATTCTTAAGTTTTGATTCATTCACCTGCAAGCTAGGATCACTGACATTGAACTATGTGCTCTGAAGATGTCTGCTGTTATATCTGCTAAAGAATAATTAGTCTAATTTGCAGCTACATTTAACTTTTCCACTCAGGTTGATTTGGTATCTGAAAAGGAGAAGTGTTAAATGGTTTTAGAAATTCATTTTCATCAAAACTTTGGTTCCTGTTACAGCAACAAAGAACTAGAGAGTGATAAAGTCGCAAGTAGATCTTGACATCCCCCAACAATTTTTCAGAGACACTCAGCGGATTACAGACTTAGCATTAACCTTATTTATCCAGAGTGTTGTAAGTATAAGACCGTATGATTAGTAGATCAAACGTTTGAGTACTTGAGCTTCCTACCGCTATCTTTCAGTGAGATTAGCAGGAACTTACACAAGAATCCATTCACTTCTCATTTTAACTCAGTCCTTTCTGAATATCCAATAGTTAAGCCTTCATCCTTGTGTAAATACTCACTGGGTTCCCTAACTTCACATTACCCAGAACCTCTTCTAACCTCCCTACAGATCCACTGTTTTGGACTTGACTTCTTCTATCTGTCTGTCTGCTTGCTTACTACCATCTGTCTGTCTATCATCTATCTATCTATCTATCTATCTATCTATCTATCTATCTATCTATCATCTATTTTTGTATCTATCTGTATGTCTATTTATCTATCATCTATCCATGCATTCATGCATCCATCCAACCATCCACCTACCTATCTCTCTTCTATCCAGTTGGTTACTTCATTTCTATCATCCACTTTCTTATTTCACTAGCATGTATTTTCTAGACTTTTTTTTAAAGTTATGCTGGAGGCATTTTCTGGGTTGACCACCCATAAAATTGCCATGGAAATAACTTTTCCATATCTTTCTGAGTCTGTTCGCTCTTTTCTCCCTGTCTCTGTCCCAGACACAGGCTGAGTTTAGGCTGTTGGTTGCTGCCCTAAGTTTACCACTGTTTCCCTCCTTGGATTTCTTCATCCTTGGCTTTAACCAACAACCCTCATATCAGAATGTGGGAGTTTTCTATATGTACCCTCAAGTTTAAGTAAGATGATTATCAAGATAGCTTTGTAAATTAACTCAATCCAATGTTATCACGATTTAGTGCTTTGCCTTTCATGGCTGAAGTTAAGCTCTAAGACAGATGTCCCAAGTCTTCCCAGGTCAGTGACTAACCTAGAGCCACAAGACAATGTATGCAGAGGCAGAAGTTTCTTAACACCCTGGAATTGTTTTCTGGAAATCCTGTACAAAGCCAATACAATACATTTTTAATAAGGGTATAGAAAATATTTGTTCTATGTGGTTTCATTTTTTTAAAATAAAACATATTTTATGTGTAGCATTTATTTTAATATTCATAGTTCAGAAATATATG